TGCATTTTCACTTACATTTACTCCATATTCCATTCCTTCTGTTGGGACTTAATCTCTTAGCGCTTCTTTTGTTTTGATGTGTTAATTCTGCTGATGGGAAGCATTATTTATATCAACAACCTAAGAATGAGAACTGATCCTGGAATTCAAAATCAGTATAATACAATTCCCATTGATAAAGATTTGTATGTTCATTACAATATTAAAACTGGTTTTGATATAAACCCAATAGTTCATTTATGTATATATTGGCACCATTCCAAAGACAGATTGTAGGCTTGTGTTCGTTTTCGGGAAGTTCTGAGTAAATAGTGTTGGAGAAATAGGGGGTTAAAAAATAGATCATTGGCTTCAAGGCATGTTGCAAATGCCACTTTTCTTTAGACTAATTTTGCCCCCACTAGATTTGGTATGCAAAAAGGGTAGCCCAAAATGCCCATAGGATACAATGAAGCACCTTGTTGATCTAGCCTTTGCACTAGCAAGATCAACCACTGAACCATCCTTTAGAAAGTGACAAAACAATAGTTTTTGTATAGGGATTTCTCGAGCAATCGCAATACAAAAAAGGGCTGTTTTGTTTATATAACCAGGGTTCAAAAAGACTCTATTAAAGAAGAAGATATAACTCCATATTTATAGGGCAAGATGTATGTTGGAACAGACACTTCTTTTTAAGATGTATGTTGGAACAGACACTTCTTTTCAAGATGTATGTTGGAACAGACACTTCTTTTCAAGCTGTCTGTTGAGAATAGACACTTCTTTTCAATTTTTTATCCATTGAAAACTCTTCCAAAAGTCATTTGATTTGATTTGATTTGAATTGAATTCCAACTGACGTGTTTCTTTGCCTTCCAAAGTTATCCACTCTCTTCAGAAACTTATCAGAATTCTATCTCTGATTTTTGACATAAATGGTTCGAACTACATTTATATGATTCAAACCAAAATCGTAACTTTTTGAATTCTAGTTTTATGTAAATGGTTTGAAACATATAATTGTGATTTGAAACAAAGTTACACTTTCTCAAATGCATTCTGTGCACTTGCTTCGAACTAACTTTTTGTGTTTCGAACCCAAATCCTAGAAATATTTTGAAACTTCTTCAACATTCCCCCACCATCTTCAAAATAGAACAACCCACCAATTGTTTTGGAAATCTTATGCATACATAAAGGTATCTTACGATTTGAACCTTTCACTTAGTGAACATATGTTGGCAAATTAGTTAGAATTGCATGGTAGACTAATGCTTTGAACCAGCAATTCTAAGTGACTAATTGGCCACATGTCACACACAAGACTTCAAGCTTTCCAAAGAAAAAAATTCAGCATCCACTGACACAAAAACTGGCCATGTGTCTTGTATCCTTTTCATGAGTGCTGTTAGAGTCAAGTCCCTAACTCCTAGAAGTGGCACCACTTCCACTCATATAGGTAGATCCCATCAAAAGTGCCACCACATTAAGCACTTCAATAGAAATCTGTTATAGGACCTATTAAGAGTAAAACTTATCCTCCTTTTTGTTTCATGTGGTTACCAATTACTCTTCCACTTGGGATGGTATTATTGATAAATTGAGTACTTGCAGTCACATTCATATGATGTACTTTACTCATTGAACTTAAGACTTGAAGTTTTTATCAAGCGTTAAGTCAAGATTCCATCATGTGTGACTTTTGTTAATATGGACTTGAGACCCATCCCTTTCTTTGTCTTGTGAATTTTCCCTTGATAATCGTTTTAATCAAGGATTCATGAAATTAACACAAGACCTTGCAATTATTATGGTGATCACCTCATTTAAGAATTAATTATTTTCATGTCTACATTTTATGACAACAAGTCTATTGTCATAGAGACTTCTTTGTAAGCACTTGATGACATCCTATTATTTTTAGTCATCATACACATTCATACAAGAATGTCTTAGATTAATATGAACTCTTGAAAGGTGTAGACATCTCCAAGAACAAGTGCTATCACTTTTAAACAGTGCCATATAACTTCGTAATATCATGAACAAGTGGAATTCTTGCTTCCTCCACTTCAAATTAAATTTTATTTGCTGTTCATGTGTCAAGAACTTTTAGTCCTTATTCCTCACTTTTGGGATTGTGCCCACTAGTTTAAATGACATCAATATTTCTCATGAGAGACATATCAGGATAAATTCTGATTTATCAAAAATGGTTCAATTTATATAAATACGGTTCGAACCAAGTTCCTGATACTTTCTAAGTTTCTTGTGTAATTGGTTCGAATAAGCTTTAAGTGATTTGAGCCAAAATTTTGGGACAACTCAAATCATTAGATTCATTTTCCATGACCAAGAGCTATTCACTCTTGCTGTTTATAGGATTCTTTAAATCCATATTTCTTTATCTTTTGGACCATTTTTCAGGTTTCCAAAAATTAATCAAGTGCACAAGGTTGCACTAGTTTCTACAAATTATCTCATTAAGAGATAACATCTAAACAAGGATTCAAAATCCTTCATGCCTTATCAAAACTGAGAGCCTTTTTACTTGGCCTCTTTTCTCTTAGTTTATACTAAGACCATTAGTTGGATCTCTAAATGGGTTTGCCAAAACCCATTTTAGTATTTCTTTCTTTAACATGGCAAAGTAGCCATCATGAGACTTGATTCTCACTTGTTTCAAATTTACATATACTGATATATAACCTTCCAAGCATAAATAAGAGGCATCAAAAGTAACAAGTTGACATATGCTTTAAGCAACCTTTCATTAATGAAACATGATCAGATTTAGCCTCTTATATTTCCACAAGCCTCATATTAAAAACAATAAGCATGTTTAACACATGTACAAAACTCAATTATTTTAACTAAAACTGTCATATACATAAACATGCTTATAACATTATCCAAGTAAAGGAAATCTCATTGACTTTAATAAGCCTTAAGCAAACCTTAATAAGATCATGCCCAGAAGTAAGATATACTACTTAAACTCCATAAAGCTTCATAAGTATTCACCAAAGAATAGTATATAATCATTACTAAATGAAAAGAAAAACCTAACTTCATTTGTATCACATTAGTAATCTCAAAATCAAGGCACAATCATGATCTCAAAACATGATCATATTCAAATCCATAAATATCTTCCTTCTCACAACCAAGAATCATGCTATCAAGTCTAAGATTTATTAAATCTCCAAATGGGATTTAAAGACCCATTTTATTTCTCTTGCCTCATTGTGCCAAATGATTTTTAATTATGAATCTTTACACTGTCATTTGCATCTTTGATAACTTCTTTGAAGCCATTCTCCAAGAGATGTTTTCTCCTCGTATATAATTAATTAAACATTAACAAGAGAACTATCACCCATGCATGAACAGCCCATTATATAAATGGTGCGTGTGCCAAAACTCAGAAAAATTCATGATTTAAGAAAGGTTAAATTGTAATCTCAATTTCTTACTAATTTTAGAATGTATTATTTCATTCTATCCTTTTACTGGTTGTTGTACCTGTTTCGATATTGTAGTGAATCTTGATTCATCTCTGTTTCATATCCTCTCCAGACTTAGAAATTTCAATTGCTTCCTTCATGAACAGAATCATGTCTCCATTGTTTCATCTTTCATGAGGATAGATTTCCTTTGCTTTATTGTGAAACGTCCAGCAACCATCACCTAATCTATGATTGATCACCATTTTGATGGTTGATGAATCACCATTTTTGCACATGATTTAAAGCACTAGAAATCCATTTTGTTTTGCCACTGTTGCATGCCATATCTCCTTGGCTTCACATGCGTTTTAATGCAAGTTTCTTCTCAATTATCCAATAAACCATGATCTCAAAAAACTCAGAAATTAGCCTAAAGATCATTGGAGAAATAAGGGGTTAGAAAATAGATCAGTAGATCATTGGCTTCAAGGTGTGCTGCAAATGCCACTTTCCTTTAGACTAATTTCGCCCTCACCAGATCTGGTATGCAAAAGGGGTAACCCGAAAGGCCTATGGGATACAATGAAGCGCCTTGTTGATTTAGCCTTTGCACTAGCAAGATCAACTACTGAACCATTCTGTGGAAAGTGACAAAACAATTGTTTTTGTATAGGGATTTCTCGAGCAATCGCAATACAAAAAGGGGCTGTTTTATTTAGATAACTAGGGTTCAAAAAGACTACTAAAGAAGAAGAGATAACTCCATATTTATAGGGTAAGATGTTTGTTGGAACAGACACTTCTTTTCAATATGTCTGTTGGGAACAAACACTTCTTTTTGATTTTTTATCTGTTGGAAACTCTTCCAAAAGTCATTTGATTTGATTTGATTTGATTTGAATTCCAACTGACGTGTTTCTTTGCCTTCCAAAGTTATCCACTCTCTTTAGAAACTTATCAGAATTTTATTTCTGATTTTTGATGTAAATGGTTTGAACCACATTTAGATGGTTCGAACCAAAATCGTAACTTTCTAGATTTTGGTTTTATGTAAACAATTCGAATCATGTAATTACGATTCGAAACAAAGTTACATTTTCTCAAATGCATTTTGTGCAATTGCTTCGAACCAACTTTTTGTATTTCAAACCCAAATCCTGGAAATATTCTGAAAATTCTTCAACAAATAGCCTTGAGAATTGCTCTCTTTTCCAACTTCTCTGAAATATAACAACCAAAAAAATCAATTAATTTTTTTAAAAGTCTAATTAGCTTATTGATTATATAAAATTTAATATCATTAAATATATATCAATAAATAGAGTTTTCTTCTCTTAAAAAGCTATAAATATTAGATTAATTTAAATATTAATATGCATAATTTATATGAATACAATTTTTAATTCAACTTTTTGAAAATATTAATTATAATGTCTAAGAGAATGACCTACACTATACCAAAATCTATAGTGTAGTGCAGGTTGTTTCCCTAAAATATTTTTCGTGGACATATTTAAAAATTCACCTTATAATTAATATTTTTAAAAACTAACCGTTGAATTTTTTTTTTTGAACGGCAAAGTTTTATTGAGAATATAGAGTACAAGGGGTACTCAAACCCATAAACAACACCATCTCCAATTTTTTCAAACCAGAAACAAAGGAAGCCCCCTAGAAATGCACTGTTCGCACACTGTATCAAGTTTTGAAACATGCAACTAGATCAATCAACCAATCTGAGAAAGTAACAGTGGCCTAATCATTCCTAGCTTTGATCCACCAAAAAGATCTCAGTTGAATAAGTTCTAAGAGTGTATCAGGATTTACCTCTTTACAATGGAAGATTTTCTGGTTTCTAGCAATCCAAATGGACCAAGCAGCTGTTTTCCAGATGCTATCCATGCCTTCTCTAATTTTTGCTCCTTTGGTATTCCTCCCGAGGAGTTGAAAAGTGTTCCAGCAGTCTCTGTTCACCATCATCTTTGACCCCCACCACTTAGAGCAAGCCTTCCATAACCACCTTGCAATTTTGCAATTTAAGAACAAATGAGTAGCATCCTCTTCTTCATCATTACAAAGGGCACATTTGGTTTCTGTCACGTCCTTAATGATCCCTCTTCTTAGCAAATTAGCTTTGGTAGGAATTTTATCCAATACTAATTGCCAATTGAAAGCTGATATTTTACTTGGAAGGATGGGATTCCATATTCTTTTGTATATCTTCTCTTCATTCGAATCTACCCGCTCCCTTGTTAGAAGAGAATACGCACTTTTGGTTGAATATTGCCTTCCCTTATCATGAGTCCATTCCCATCTATCTAGGTCTCCTTCTGCTAACTTCACGTTTTCTATCCTCTTTTGGAGATCCATGACATCATCAACCTCCCACTCAATCCAGTTCCTTCTCCAATTAAGATTCCATGACCATGTGTCGTTGCTA